CTATCTTCACCTTCAAGTACTCTGATAATTTGCATAAAGTTTTACTTGGTGTATCTCTTAGGCTGTCTTTCTTTATTTATTTTTTTTGAGACAGGATCTCACTATGTAGTTGAGACTGGCCTGGAATTCACTATGTAGCTCAGGCTGGTCTCAAACTCACAGCGATCCTCCTGCCTCAGGCACCCCAGTGCTGGGATTACAGGTGTGCGCCACCACGCCCGGCAGGCTGTCTTTATTTTTTTAATTCATTTTTTACTCCTTATTGGATTATTTCCAATGACCTATCTTCAAATGTGCTAACTTTCACATCTGCTTATCTTCTATTGAATCTTTCTACTGATTTCTTGACTTCAGTTATACTATCAGCTTGGTGGTTTTTTGTTTGATCCTTTCTCATATTTTAACTCTTGGTTGAAATTAACAGTTTTCTCAAGTTTTACCTCATGAGCTTTTTTTTTGTCCCCTCATGAGCATCTTTATAGCTATCTTTTTTAATTCTCTTGTCAGGTAAATCAAGTATCTCCATTTCATTAGAGTCAGTTTCTGGAGATTTATCTTATTGTATTTGGAACACAGTTCTCTGTTCATTTCCTTGATCTTTGAGTTGGTTTCTGTACATTAAAGAAACAGCTCCCTTCGCAGTTTTGTTAGACTGGTCTCATGTAGGAAGCATTCCTTCCTTGTTAATGTGGCTGTAGATTCAAGGTGCCTCTAAACTTCCTGTTCTTTTCCAGCTTTCTTTGTTCTTACTTATTGATTCCCACAAAATTAATGTTCAGTTGTGCTATCTCGTTGAGAGAAGCGAGATGGTGGTCTGTACCTTGGGAGGCAGCTGCAGAGTCCAGGATGTTTTCTTTCAGAGAAGCTGAGAGCCAGGGTTTACCTCCCACTTGTCCTGCCTGTACCAAGAGGAGGTTCTGAGGCAGATACCTTTACTCTTGATCAGACTGCCCACTGGGAACCTGGAAAGATAGCTGCTATGGGCTTTCAAGTTTAAAAGGCATCTAGTTGTTCTCTGTGGAAAACAAGGAGCCTCAGGGGTACAGAGTTCCATCTATTCCCAGAGTTCAGTGATTTAGGAGCCAGCTTCTTTGGTGTGGCTTGTAAACGTTTGTGTTCTTGATGTGTATAGAAGCTATTTCCAGGAGAGTCAGTGGATCTGGATTTACTGCTGAAGCAAGCCAGGGAAGAAAGTGTAGGGAGGGCTCACTGCCTTGTTGGAGGCAAGCATATGTCATAACACCCTACAGGGAGACTTCTGGTCTGGAGTTATCCTAATGAAAGAATACAGGGGTTTATCTTCAGAGCTAGGCGTGGGAGAAGGTGTGGCAAGTGCCATCTCTTTTCTTTTGACTGGCTGAACCCTTCAATTTATTTACATGGAGAGCTTTCAGGTCTGGGATTATCATGGGAGCAAGTAAAGGAAGAAGGCAAGAAGTGATCTTAGAAGGCCCTTACAGAAGGAGCCTCTGGTCTGCATTTGTCACTGAAGCAAGCCAGGTAAGAAGGTGCAAGATATGCCCGTTTCCCTTTCGGGCATGGAAAGGTCCTCTGCTCTCTCAATAAGGGTGTGTGCAGAAATTTATGCATCAAAGAAACAAGGGTAGGTGGTCATTTTTGCCAGCAGAGCCTCCAGCTTCTTTCCTTGGAGAGCTTGTAGGGCTGGATCTGTCTCTGAGGAGGAGGAAGCCAGGGTATACCATTCTTCCGATTTTGTTTTCTAGCAGTTTATTCATTACCTGCTATGTAGGCCCCCAGATACTGACTTGTTAGAGGCCAAAACCATAAGGAGCTCTAGGGGGAAGGTTGGAAACTCGGAAGATCTTGCTGGTCCCTGACCCTAATATCACAGCTGTTGTGTGAAGTGCATGTGTGATTAAAATCCTCCCCATGTTCTTTGTGTTCTTGAGGGAAGACCTCTGATGCACTGTCCCTGCTGTTTCTCAGGGATATTTAAGAGCCCAGACTTCTGACAGGAATGGTAGAAATTGGGCACTACACATGTGGTATGAGGCCTTTGGCAGAAGTTGAGATTTGCAGTTTCCTTCCTGATTTTAAGGTACTGTGCTCAGCATGGAGTTAAGTGCGCTAGCATGTCTCCACTTTACACACTCATTTCAATGTGGATAGTTTTTCAATCGTTTGATGTGTTAGGAGTCTTTCAACTGGATTTGGCTTTCTTCTGAGAGAACGGATCCATGTGTAGGTGTTTGCTCAGTGAGTCTGTAGGAAAGATAATCAGGAACCTCCTATCATCTTGACGTGCTATGTTGCTGAAGTCATCCCTTGTTGTTATTTTCTGAAACCGTAACAGATTTTCAGAGGTGTTCTATGTGGAGCAGGAAAGAGGAGTCAAGGAGAATTCCAAGATTTTGGCTTGAGGAACTAGGATAATGTAGTTGCTACTTACTGAGATTATGAGAATTACAAGGAGAAATAGCACAGTTCTGGATGTGCTAAGTTTGAGGCACTGCGAATACCCACCCCCAAGATGTTAAAGAGGCAGGAGCTTGGGGGTACCATCCCCAAATGTGCCTTAATGTTTTAAGTTTCTTTGTCTTTGCACATCCTGACTCCCTGCCTAGAAATATTGTTCTCTTCCCCTTTTCAGATGTTACCAAGAGCAGAGTTGGTCACCCTTTCCTCTGTGTGCCAGTCTCTCTTCCTGTTTTTGCCTCTTTATCTGGGGAACACAGGCATTGTTACTTCACATGTTTAGTGAGGTAGCTGTGATATTCTAGGCATTATTGTAGGCACTAGGGATAAACACGCCAAAATTGTGGCCACTGCACAGAGAGATGCAGACAATAAAGAAGTGAACAAATAATAGGTAGTAATAAGTGCTGTAGACAGTGTGCAATAGTGTGTTCGGCGGGAGTTGCATTCTGAGTACCACTGTAGAGGGTCTGCTCAGGGGCTGTTTCCGCTGAGACAGTAATTGAGACCTGAATGAGGAACAGGCTATCTGGAGGAGCAAGAGTGCAGGTGAAGAAAACAGGCAGTGCTGAGGCTTTGGAACAGAGTGAGGTTGGTGTGTGACCAGTAGTGAGGCAGAATGGCAGAGGAGAGGAACGTGATAGGAGAGGGGCTCAGAGAGAAGTGCAGCAGCTGGCCCTGGGGAGGGCCTTGGAATGCTTGCCTTGTGCAGATTTGGTTTTGTTCTGAGGGTGCTGGGAAGTCACAAGAAAGTTCTGGGTGGGTGTTATGGCTTGTATCTAGATCTTTCCCCAATGCTGAATGCACTGATAGGTGGAGCTTTTCAGAGGTGTGTGATGGCCAGGACTCAGAGAATGTAATTACTAAATTCATCCACTGATTGGTTTAGCATAGTTCTGGGTGTGGATAAGGGGAAGGCCCATCCCGGGTGTGAGGTATAAAAAGAGACTTTGTTGCTGCTGCTGCTGCTGTTTGCTTTGCTTATTGCTTTGCTGTCTCCTTCCTGCTTGCCATGGACTCTTTCTCCTGTCATTCCCCTCCGCCCTGCCACCCTGCTTTGGAGCCGGATGACTGGATTGAAACCTCTACAAACGGAGCCAAAATAAACCTTTCCTCCTTTAACTGTGGGTGTTGAGTATTTTGTCTCAGCAGTGACAAAAGTAATGACAGTGACAGCGGAGATTGCTGGGATTTGGTTTTTGGGCTAACTATGATGGCCATGCAGCATAGGTAGTGGTAGTGGCAGAAGCTAAGTGATGACAGTGCAAGTGGTGAAAAGTAGACAAAAAATAGATTGTGTAAAGGGAAAGAAGAAAAGGGATAAAGCAGAATGAAACGTAGGTTTTTGGTATAGACAGCCCATCTGCATGTCCTGTTAAATTACCAGCTTCCTGTCATGTGCAGAACATGGAAATGCAGTGTTTTTATCTTGTTTGAAGTATGCTGCCTCTGCTTTCATGCCCTGTCCGCCTCTCATCTCCCCTCTAAGCATCAGCCAGACTGGTGGCTCTCAGTTCCCAGAACTGCCCAAACTCTTCATTGCCTTTTCTAAATACATGCATTCTTCAACTTCCATCCATCCAAAAATGTTACCTCCTCAGAGACCTCCTACTTCTACCCCAATCATTGCAAAAGTCTGGATTTTCTGTTGTATCTATGATAACTTGCAATTAATTACACATACTAATATTGAATTTCTGTTTCCTTCGGTGAATTCTTAAGTTCCTGGGGAAGGGGGGTGGGTCCTTTTCTGCTGCTTCTTTGCCTGGAGAAGCCGGTGCCTGGCACATAGCAGGTGTTCAGTATGCCTCTTTTTTGTTTTTGTTTTTTTTGTACCAGGGATCAAACTCAGGACCTTGTGCTTGCTTGCGAGGCAGGCATGGCGCCACTGAGCTAAATCCCCAGCCCTTCAGTATGCCTCTTTAAGGGAGTAGATGCAGGAGACCCAAGGATGAAGTCACCATAGGGACAGGGAGACATTAAAGTAGGCCTAAATGCTGTCTAGTATTCAAGGGAGCAGTGAACTTGAATGTTGTTCCTTTTTTCACGTGTCAGAGGACTAATGGCAACCATTTTAATATTACATTTGGGTGTCTGAAAAACTTTAGTTATTTGAAATCTGAGCTATACAGGTGCCATAAGGATAGGAAACCTTCCTTTTTACTAAAGTATATTATGTGTTAACTATTTTAATCAACTTGTCATCCCTGGGACACAAAATTAGAGGAGGAGAGGTTTATATTGGCTCACAGTTTATAGAGGTTTCATTCCAAAGTCAGCTGGCTCCAAGGCAGGATAGCATGGCAGAGGAGAGCTGCTCATGACATGGCCGCAGGAAAGCAGAGAGAGTGAAAAGAGGAAGGAAGGGAGATAAACCCTTCCAGGCCATGCTCTCAGTGTCCTGCGTCTTCCAGTCAGACTCCACCTCCTAACAGCAAGTCAGCTATAATACCCTCATATTCCAGTCACTTTCCAAAAGCCTCTCATATGCTCATATGATGCTTAAGTGGGGGCGGGATGCATATCTAAAATATAACGCTAACATTAACTTTTTTTTTCTCAAGGTTAATCTGAAGCGACCATGTCCTTTCTGGGCAGAAGATGGACATTGTTCGATAAAGGACTGCCATGTGGAGCCCTGTCCAGAGGTATAATAAATAAAAAACTAATAGGGAAAAACTTGCTTTCTCTTGGACTTTTAGATAAGCATATCCTCTGTATTTTGGCTAATGTCAATGGATTTGGACTTGTCAGCAAAATCATATATTCTCTGCCCTCTTCTTTATAGATTGGCCTCTTATTCAATACTTGTCACCAAATGGGTTTAATGATACTTCTTTGTCCTGGGGTATTGGTGATTGGATGTGGAAGTGTAGTCCATTCCTATAATGGAAGGACGATCATAAGCCTGTTCTAGGATTGAGTCTGCAACTGGCTTTTAATTCATGCTTTATGGAATCTGCATCTTATTTCATAGGTTTAAAAAAACTCAAAACACACAAAACCGAAACCTGGACCCTAACTTTCAAGTTCAGAATGCAAATTTCATTGGTTAGAGGCTTGAAGTTTAATTTTCTTTTTTGTTTTGTTTTGTTTTAAGGGTGTGCTGTACTTATTAGGAAGAGAATGCCATATTTTAGACACTTGTTTGTTTGTTTATTTTGGTGCTGGGATCCAACTAGGACCTTGCATTTGCAAGACAGGCGGCAGCACCACTGAGCCAAATCCCAGCCCCTAGACTTTTAAACTTTAAAAAAAAAATTTTAGTGGTGCTGGGAATTGAACTAGGAAATTAACTTTGATATATTTACTAATAGTTATATAGCCCTTATTCAAATAGTGCCAGTGATTTCCATATGCTTATGCTTTGTAGAGAAAAAAAGGGGAGGGTTGGTCTAGAATCCAATTAGAATTATATTTTGCATTTGGTTGTCATGTCTCCTTAGTCTCTTTTCCTCTAGCATTCTCTTCCTCCTTTCTTACAGTAAAGGGGATCAAAGCAAGGGCCTTGTACCTAATACATTCTAGTCATGTGCCTTACCACTGAGCTACACCTGCATTCTTCCTTTACCCATTTTTAAATTGAGTTGTTCCTTACTGCTGAATTTAAGAGTTCATTATTTGGCTTTGATACATAGTATATATTTCTAAACTGAGTGCTTTTTTCTTTTTTTTTTTTTTTTTTTTTTTTTAAAGGGAGTCTGGGAAGCACATGTTTGAATCTAGAGTACTGAGCTATATCCCCAGCCTTTTTAAAATTTTGAGACAGACAGTTGCTTAGTTGCCCAGACTGGCCTCAAACTTTTGATACTGCTGCTTTAGCCCCCGACTCCAAGAACTGGGATTACAGCCATGTGTCACCTGGAAAGTGCTTACTTTTTCAAGTTAAGTTACTATTTGTGTTAACTTTATAATAAGAAAAAAATGAAAGCCAGGTATGGTGGCAGTGGCGCCTGCAGGCCTGTAATCCCAGCACTGAGGAGGCTTGGGGGTGGAGGATCACTGCAAATTCAAGGCCAGCGTTGGCTACATAACAAGTTCAAAGTCAGCCTGAACTGCATAGCAAGATCCCGTCTCAGAAAACAAACAAAACGGGCTGGGGATTTAGCTCAGTTGTTCCAGGCAGCTGCTTTGCAAGTGCAAGGACCGGAATTTGATGACCGGTACCAAACAAAAACAAAACAAAACAACAAAAAAAGAATGAATGTGTTTGTTTATAAAAGGACCCCAACAAAGGAAATAAAACACACTTATATCAAAATATCCTGCTTTATTCCCTTTCCTTCTCCCAGAGACAAAAAAATTATCCCTTCTTACTGATTCATTAAATATGTGAGGTTTTTACACCTGTCTCTCTTTGGGGAAAATATATTAGATATTTCATATTTTACCCAAACTTGGGTACAGTTTGGTTTCTATAATTTCAAATTAATTTAATCATGAGGATCACTTTACAAGTTACACACTGCTTCATATTATTTGTGTTAGTGGCAATGACCAGATTTATTTTACACTTGATTTTAGTTTTAATTTTTGTCAAATTATTACTTTTAATAACACTTTTTTTGCAGTGTTTGATATATTGCTCATGACAGTTACCAGCAGGGCCCTACTATTTCTTCATAACCTATGAGGATATTTATTTAAATCATTGTGTTGTGCATTAAGCCTTTTAAAAAGCTGCTAATGAGAGCCTGGAATGGTGGTGCACTCTTGTAAGCAGGCAGAGGCAGGAGAATTACAAGTGGAGTCTCGCCTGGGCAATGTAGTGACTTACCAAGACCTTGTCTCACAAAACTTAAAAAGGGCTGAGGCTGTAGCTCAGTGTAAAACACAGTCCTGTATTGGCTAGAGGACATACAGTAGTCAGAGGCCACTTTGGGTTAATATTAGCTCCAGATTATAAAGTCAGGGTCTTATAACTGTCTAGATTTGACTTGAGTTTTATAATTTTCTCTCCTGTCCCTTAGTAGATGTGCTAGAAAAAAATACCCAAATGATAAAATATTGACAGCAAGTGACATTTTATCTTTTTATAGATTAGGAAAAAAATCTCTTTATCATCATCATCATCATCATTTTCCTGACAAGAAAATATTCTGAATATTTTGTTAAAAATCTATGAAATTTGACTAATTTTTAATAGGTAACATGCTGCTGTTGGTAGTCAGTAGATTCAAAGGCTGAGAAAAGCCCCTGGCTTGATGAAAAAAAACCTGTCTGGGAATGTCTTCTTTCAGATGTGATTTTTGTTTAAAATTTTATTTGATAAAGCAGTTAAAATAATTCATAGATTCATTTATTAAATCCTAATACTAATTATTGGTTTTGTGGAAAGGAATGTCAGACCTAATACAGTTCTTCCATTGATAAACCCCGAATTTCTGGCCTGTAGACCAGAAATCTGACTCTTGCCTCCTACTAATACAGAATTGCCTAAGCTTCAAAAGTCATCTTAGAACAAAAAATTAAAATCCAGCATAATGTATTTTAACTACTTTTGAACTTTTAAAAGATTTTTCTGTGGTAATAAATTTTATGGAAATGTGATGGTCGTTTTTACCCTAAAATTTATATAAACTATAAAAGAAATACTGCATTGGGAGTTATTAGAGGTAATTTTGACTCTATATATGTCATTCAGTTTTCTGAACTTTAATTTCCAAGTTTGTAAATTGGGATAACTGTTTTTAACTCGAGGAAGTATGAAAACAAAATTTGAATGTATATTTGCATCCCGTAGAATAATATATTCTTTGTATCACTTTAAATTTGTATTGTTGTTCTTTTAAGAGTAAAATTCCAGTTGGAATTAAAGCTGGGCATTCTAATAAGGTGAGTCACTTTTCTCCCTTGAATATTTCGGCTTTATTGCACAGTGAAACTTAAGTTTACAGTGTTTGACATGGTTGAAGAGACTGTAATATGGCTAGCTGAGAATGGAGATATTTTGCCTCAGAACTCCAAATCCCTAATTCGTGAGCAAGTAGAGAGTTTGTGCATTCCAGCTTCTTTTGAAATTATGTCACTGTTTGTGGAATCTTTAGAAGAATTCTAATTTGTAGCTGCAGTTTTATATCACCTACTCAACAGATGTTTTATCATTGTGGTGTTGAACCTGTGGTACTTTGCAAAAATGAGTGGATTTTGGGTTGCAGTTTGGCACTCCATCTCAGAAAGGTTTACCATCACTATTTTATCATATAGGTGCATTTGGTTCTCTGTTTCAGTCTACCTGTTAGATTCAGGTTTATATTGTATAGAGAAAATAATTTTCAAGATATTTTGAACAAAGTACTTTCCAACAGTGTTAAACTAAAGATTTCCTTTTTCTTCTTAGGCACATGTCATAGGTTTGTTTTGTTTTTGCCAGACACACGTTTTTAGGTATTAATTTACTTCGAGTTTTTCACTATTGTAAATACCCTTTTCTCTGCCTTCCTTTTTTGCATATTCTCCATTTTCTAGCACTTTCATCCATGTGTTGTTTATGGTCACATTCACTTTTGTTTTTGGGTTTTTTTGCTCCAGTAGAAAGACATGCAATCCTTCGAAGGTCTTCCCTCCCAATCCCATTCTCTTTGCTCCCTCCCCAGAACCAGGCATTTTTCTGAAGTACCCTTCCATGGTTTTATACTCTCACTGCGCATATATCCATATGTTATCTACTTTTATTGCATTATTTGTGAGTAATGTGTACATTTTTATATAAAATTGAAAAGTTAAATAATATATTGTTTTCAATAGTATTTTTGTGTGCATTTTTACTCAGTCTTAATGATTTTGAATTTTTCTCTGTTGATACATGTGAATCTTGTTCATTTTAATAACTAGTAGTCAGTTTTGTGACTTTAACATAGAAGTTTCCATGGACAATTCACTTGTTTGCAGTTTTTGCTGATATAATGATGTAATCGCAATTTTCCTTTGTCTCCTTGTGGACATGTGTTACCACTTATCTACTTCTTTATTAGAAATAGGATTGCAAGGTGGTTGTACTTTTTCTAATTGTTGCCTTCAGATGTGGATACCTAATAGGTCTTAAGGGTTTGTGTATTTTTATAGTTCTAGATATATAATACCAAATATTTTCCTAAGTGAGTTTTCTTAGTGTATGTCACAACAGCACGCTAATGCTTTTAAATTGTTAATGTCTCCACTAATTTGTTAGGTAGAAATTTGTACCTCTTTTTTATTCATATATATATTACATATTTTGATAATATGATATATTTAGTATATATCATCACTGACATATAGTTCTGCCAGTGGAAGCTAAGAAAAATGGAAAGATAATTACTACTAAACTTATCATGAACTTCCTTACAGTACTTGAAAGTGGCAAATAATACCAAAGAATTAGAAGATTGTGAGCAAGCTAATAAGCTGGGAGCAGTTAACAGCACATTAAGGTAAGTTTTATTTTAGTAGTATTAAGAACATATTCTGTTATTTAATTTATGTTAATCTTTTTCTTGTGATTTTAGTAAAACATTTTTGTTAAGCATTAAATTTATAATTAATCAATTTTTTAAAAGGGAAAAAAAGTTACTCTATCCTAAATTCCATAACAATTTTGCCTCTTCTTGGCCTGTTTGTTCTTAAATTTCTAGGATATATTATCAGTAGCAAATCTAATCAAAAATAGAAATTTAGAAAATTACTCAGCAGGATTTCTGGGTCCATTCTAATGGTCATTATGGAAAGAGGGGCTTGAACCTCTAAATCTTTTATATGTATATCTTATGTATACAGTCTATATCTTATATTTTGAATGGTAAATTTGCTGGTAGTTTAAGTTCCAAAGTTTTGTTTTGTTTTTGTTTTTTGCTGACCTTTCTACTCTAAGCAGAACAACATAATAGAAGCAGTAGCAGAAACTGGTATACAACCTATATCCCACCCACACAAATCAAACCAAAATCAAACAAGCAAAACAAACAACAAAAACACACCAGACTAGTATATACATCCTTGTGGAGGTATTTATAATCGGGAAAATTATTGAACACCTCCTGATGTAAGGAGCTGTGTTAGTTGCACACAGACAAAATACCCAGCACCCAAAGTTAGAGGGGAAGGGGTTTATTTGACTTACAGTTCACAGAGGCTTCAGTCCACAATCAGCCAACTCCAAGGCAGGGAGGACAAACAGGCATGGCAGAGCACAAACAACATGGCGCACTCAAGGCAGCAAGGGTAACAAGAGTTAAGAGAGTCTCCCTGCCCCTCTTATCTTATCCAGGATACTCAGGGTGGGCAGCACTCACACCCTTAATCCTAGTGCCCTTGAGCCTAGCATTGCATCGTGAATCCCTTCCAGCTTCACACACTGTAGATCAATCCTATGACCACAGGAGGCTCTGGGGGGACATCTAGACCCAAGCCATAGCAAGAGGGTTGTGAGAAGTTTTTTTTTAGTGCACAGTTTTCCTTCTCAGCTTCTGTTCAACTAAGACAGTTTGGGGCGGTCTAGGCCAAGCTTCACATTTCCATTGTCACAGGTGAGTGCTTAGGCAAAACTGTCAGTTTGGTCAGTACACACTTACTACTTGTTTATGTTTTGTTTTTGTTTGTTTGTTGTACTTGGGAGTGAGGATACAGATAGAGTTGGAGTGGTTCACCAAACCTCTCTGGCCTTGCCTGAGGAATGTTCTAGCTGTGGCAGACATGACTGGCAAGTGTCAGTGCTTCAGTGGGTATTCTCAATGTGTCTGAGCAGGCAGAGGCGATTGGGCACGTAGGTTCTGCACTGTTGGTTAGTGTGATGAGCAGCTGTCAGCGCTGCTGTCATGATCCAAATCTCTGGTAACCTCTGGTCAATGGTGGGGTACCAGTGCAGCTCTTGGCCTCCCACGGCCTCTGCAGCCAGTGCCACCCTGGCTCTTCCATCTTCTCTTAGCTCTTTTGGTTCTTTAGCTGTACAGCAGCTTAATCTTTCTAGCTCATGGCTTAAAGTGAATGTAGTTTTAAGTTTATTTGAATGTAGTAGTTGTTCCACATCAGTTCAAATTAGAAATCTTTACCATAGATTGTGTTAAATTTAATGTATGATGTAAAATGAATGCCTGGATCATGAGATCAGAAATATGCATTTCTTCAAGAAACTAGAGACATTTAGAGCTAAATGGATGCACATTTAGGCCATTCTCTTTAGAGAAATAAATAAGGTGTGTGAATACTGAATAGTCTCTCTGGTGTAAGAAACTGAAAGTGTAAATAAGGATTAAAATGATTAATTGATAATGTGAAATAGGAAGAAAAGGTCCAAAGAGGTAGGGGAAGTGGGAGGGGAAAGGAAAAAAATATGAGAAAAGGAAAAATGGAAACAAAGTCTTTGTAAATAGGGAAGGGGAAAGAGGGGGAGGGGAGGGCAGGGGAAGTGGGAAAAAATAAGAACCAAGATACATCATGTAATGCTACAAGTTCCCATAGATGAATGTAACTGTATTGTATACCTAAAATGTACCAATAAAAGAAATTAAGAATTTTTTTTAAAAAAAGAAATAAGCAGTTCTTGGGGTTTTGGATCCTGTAAGTATAAAAGCAATTTAAATTTAAAATATTCTGAAAGTAAATTTCTTCCCTACTTCAGGAAAAGTATAATAATTGCTACAATTTCTAAGTCAGCTGAAAAGGCCAGCTTGATTTTTGTGTTTAAATGTTTTATGTATTTGTAAATTTTTAGTTAAAATAGCTACAATTCAACTAGAGCTGATAATAATTTTAATGTAGTTAATATAAATTACTCATGGAAGTTTATATGTTTTTATATATAACTTGGTCTTAATCATTCCTTCATGTAGCCAATAATAATAATAATAATAATAATGTAGCATCATCTAATAAAGAAGTGGCCTCAAATTATTTTAATTACATTAGAATATAGTATAAAATTTTTCAGCTCCAAATTTAATCATTTTTCTTTTTTATTCCTCCTTCCCATAGTAATCAAAGCAAAGAAGCTTTCATTGACTGGGCAAGATATGATGATTCACAGGATCACTTTTGTGAACTTGATGGTAATAAAATAAACTATTATAATTAAATTATTTTAGCTTTAGCTCTTTTATAAGACATCTATTATTGGGGGGCGGTGCTGAAGCTTCAACTTTGGACCTTGCACTTGTGGGGCAGGCACCAGAACCACTGAGCTAAATCTCCAGCCCATTGTAAGACATCTAAATCAATAAAAATATAACCTGAGTTAACAGCTTTAACATTGGACTTTGCTATGTAGATTTTGTTCTTAACAGCATTTGAAAACCTTTGTTCCAGGCCTTGTGTTCAGTGCCTTAAAACATTATTTCTAATCTTTATAACAACCTTATTAATAGGTGTGTTTTTTCATATCTGAGAAGCTAATTTTTAGAATCACTGAATTGCCCCAAATCACACAGTAACAAGAGGCTGAGATAGGATTTTATCCCAGATCTGAGGGAGTCCAAAAACCTGTGTTCTTTCCAGTACATTGCACCATCTATGGGCTTTCAGTTGAAGCCACTTGGTTATAGGTCCTTGAACATGCAAAAATGTTTACCCTGGAATTTGCTGGAAGTCTCAACAAACTCATTTAATGATTCCCTCTAGTGCTGGGGAGGACTTGAGTTTGATTTCCTCAGAGCCCTCTTTCCAAGAGTCCTCTGGAAGAATCCAAAGATGTGATACTGTCCAACAGAGTTACTACAACTTCCCTGAACAGGAGATAATTGTTGCAGCGATTTAGAAATTTATATCTATATTTCTGAAGAACTGTGATTGAAAAATAGTATTTCCAAAGAACTGTGCTGTGTAAGCTAGAATCATGCATTTGACCTCTTCACCTTTACCTTGTTACTGTTAAACTTTTGGTGGTGGGAAAGAATTTGGGGTTCAAGCATGCACATTTGAAAATGGACAGCAGAGGTTTTTTTTGAACTATTCAAGGATCTAAAAGTGATCATCATGCTTTCTAAAAGTTTAAAAATGATCCAGAGATAGAACTGTGGTGTCTGTCTATATTATCATGAAGTAAATTACTGTGGCTTCTAAAGGATAGTAAATTGAATACTGGGAGATAGAATATTGTTACCATTTATATCATTTCAGCTAGGAAAATTTTTAAGAAATGTGAGCAAGGTTTCTTTGGGTATTTGGGTTTCCAATGGCCAGCTAATTAAATTCCCCATTATGATATTTAGAATTGGTGAAAGTTTTATCAGAGAAAGCCACTGTACCCACAGTGAACTTCATCACTGCTTACTCTTATTTGCTCTTTGTCATTCTAATTATATTTGCACTTTCAACACCATAGTTAACTTCTTTCAAGTTCATTTTATCTAATGTTTTAAAAAATCTAACTGTGCTTCTTTAATAGGTTTTCAGATTCTTCATTTGTGATTATAAATTATTCATGATAGTTTTTTTCATAAAAATACTCAATTGTGGGGGTTACATGTTGTAAATAAATTGATGAGCTAAATTTAATATCATCAGTATATTGTTAATGTTTTCTTTTTTGTGGTACTGGAGATTGATCCCAAGCCTTTGTACTGAGCTGCATCCCCAGGCCCCACTCCTCTTTTTCATTTTGAAACAGTGCCTTACTGAGTTGCTGCATTGCTCAGGCTAGGTTCAAATTTGCAATTCTCCTGCCTCAGCCTCTACTAGGATTACAAGCATGCGCCACCATGCCCAGTTCTGTTTTTTATACCATTAGTTTCTTAAGTTGTAGAAATGGAAGACGTATCCAATAAGAACTTGTATAAAATCATCCTTTAATATTTTTAGAATTACATATTTTAAATAAGTAGGATTTTTTTCAATTTTATGTAATTGTTATGCATATAAAACCATGCTACTTCTCTTACCATTAGTCCTCTGAGTTGTAGTTTTCATTTGCCCTAATGATTTATACTTATCCTTTTTTTTTTTACTGTTGGGGTAGCTCTAGAATCATTGTTTAGCTATTCCTGCTATCTAAATTCGGAAGGTTAAAATGTGAAAATGTAAAGACTGTTCACTCTAGTTTATTGGGGAAAATATCCATATGTTTCTGTTCCTTGCTGCTTTGCTCTTGGTATTATCTTGGAATGGAAGATGATCCCATGCATGAAATAGCAGTCTTTTAAATAATTTAGCAGTTTAATATCCACTAGGGTGAGCTGCTGTACCTGTCCTGTTGTTTTCATTATCTTTATGCATGGTTTCCTATTTCTACTCAAATGTCTTCTCATCAGAGAAGCTTGGTCTCATCTTCCTGTATAGAGTAGTAACCATGGTCACTCATGGGGCCTCTGTACTGCTGGTTTCCATCCACTCCACCCACCACTAACAACTACCTGGCATTGTGGCATATTATATAGCTTAACGAGTTCCTTGTGTGACTTTTCCTCCTAGATTGTGAGCTACTCAAGGGCCAAGGCTTGGTCTTTGATTCTCTACTATATTCTTAGTACCTAGAACAGTTCCTGGACATCGTAGGTGTTTAATAAAGATGGTGGTGAATGAAGCAGTTGGTCTATAAATAACCTAAATAGCATGATAGGCTTTAACTTGTATTTTTCTCTGAAAACATGTTTATTAATACATTTAAAATATTATTTAAAACAGTAGTTGCTAAGTCTAGCTATGTTTCAAAATGACTTGACTTTATAAGCTATAGATTTTCCTGGACTGTGTAGCTCGTTCTCTAATAGTGAGTTAGCAGTTTGGGGTAAAGTTGGTGGTGCTCAATCCTGAACCCCTGACATAAAATGTTTTTAAACTATGACTATAAGCAAAAAGCCTTCATCCTAAATTGACCTGTGCTATTATGTCTTACAGATACATGGGTGAGGAGGCGAGGTAGTGTCTCCACACTGTAAAGTGGGTTGTGACCTCATCACCTTACTGCTAAATTAGGACACTGAGAGGAGCATTCATTTGGGAAAATGATGTACTTGAGGAGGAGGAAAAAAACATTAGTCCAATTTGATGATTTTCCAGAATTAGGAGTCATGATTCAGTTGGAAGGTCTTTGAATACTTAGGTAATGTGGTCAACATGGTTGTATAGAAAAAGCAAAGCTTTGTAGAGAGAAGAAGAAAATACTTTCTAGGGCAAGGATGCAGTAAGGGTACAGAAAGAGATCTGAATAGGAGATCTAGTTGTACTATTACAGAGAAGTGATAATTGAGGAACAGGTTAATTAAAGTCAGTGTCACAGGTCACCTGGGGTCTAGTGGGCCCCAGATCTGGTGTGCTTATGGGGAAACTAACTACTGTATGCTTTCTCCCCAACGCTGCTCACTCTAGCATCATGAAAGCCTTGTCAGTATAGGTCAGAAAATGTCAAACTTTTCAGGAAACAGACAAATGGTAAACATTTTAGGTTTTATATGCCATATAGTCTCTGGCAACTCCTCAACTCTTCCACATAAGCCAAAAAAAAAAGGTTGTTCTAAGAAAACTCTTCACAGAAACAGATAAAAGGCCAGATTTGGCCCAGGAATGTAGTGTGCCAAGCACAAAACCTACCCTTTTCATGATTTTTAAAAAGTATTTAAAATTTAAACAATTAAACAAAATCATTGATTGAATTGAGAATTTTAAGAAACTAGTTACAAAAAATGGTACGATTTTACTCTTAAGATTTGTTTTAGCTCCCTTAAAATATATTTTAAGTCATTATGCTTTAATAGCTGAATCAGCGTTTTTTTCCGTATTGGTTGTTTAGTTGTTTTTACGGAGCACAGACTGATACTAGCTCAGTCTCCACAATCATAGATGACCCTGAATATGTGTACTCTGATGTGGATGCACAGACACAGAGTATCGACAGTTGTGAACGATATATATATCAGGGGATATATATTTATATGGTCACTAATATTTGTGAAGTTTATATATAACTGAGTCAACTTTGCAAATAAACTCAAGAGCAGCTCAAAGAAATTAAAACTATATTACAAATAATGAATTTTAAAATTACCAAAAAACATACTTTTAATAACTTTATAATTTAAACTTATATTTTTAAATTAGAATTTTAAAAGTTACTGTTTTTAAGTCCTGAGTCAATCTATGTCCTTTACTTCAACAGTTTTTGTCTGTCCGATTTGTAAATTAAGTTTCCTGTGCCTTAATTTGTGTAGTACAATAGCTTTATAATTCTAGGGCTAGAAGTATCTTCTATTATGAAAATTCTATTCTAGAGCCAGTATCTTCTATTATGAAAATATGTTTCCATTATCACTATGTTATATACAATCCATGTAATAACAATATTTTATTTTGTCATACTAGGGATTGAATTCAGGGTTTTCCTCATGCTAGGCAAGCATTCTATTACTGAGCTACATCTCCACCTCTTGTAATTACTTTTGTCCTTGTTCTACATCATAAAAGTAGGCAATTCTTGGAAGGCATAGATCAAGATGCCAGTTTCCCCTTATGAGTATGGATATTCCCAAACTACGTTCATTCGGTGTTCAGTGAATATCATTCATTGATAGGAGAAGTCAGGTGTCTATGTACTTCTGACTTGTTCTCGTAACACTGAAAGGTAGTAAGCATGTTAAGGAATAGTTTGTGCCAAAGCTTGTATGTATTATGATCATACATTTGTGAGCATAGTCCTTATAATTTTTCTTTAGCTATGAAAGTACATTTCCCTTTTTGACCCAAAATGTGAGCCTTAATAGTTAAGACCATTTTTCTTCATGTTTTGTATTCCTCAGAGATCTCTATTAAAATGTCCAAGCAGGGCCGAGCATAGTGGCGCACACCTATAATCCCAGCAATCGGGAGGCTGAGGCAGGAGGATCACTGTGAGTTCAAGACCAGCCTGGGCTACAAAGTGAGTTCCAGGTCAGTCTCAACTACATAGTGAGACCCTGTCTCAAAAAACAAAAACAAACAAACAAAAAGTCCAAGCAGGGGAAATTTAGTACTCATTTGGATTTTGTCATGGAAATGGTTAATTTTAGATGTTTCAAGAAGTTTTTGAAAATTGTGCCTATTATGTACTAGTTTGGGAGGGGAAAAGCACTTCAATATGTTAATATTGGTAAAAATGAGTAATAATTTTTAAATTGGACCACTGTATAGCTCTGTGAATAATCCTTTAAATAACACTTTTTTGAGACATTTTCTTTATAGGTCTACAAGTAGAATAGCAGAAAAATCTTTTTTGTTTTGTTTTGTTTTTTTGAGACAGGGTCTCACTGTGTAGTTCAGACTGACCTGGAACTCACTATGTAGCCCAGGCTGGTCTCAAACTCGCAGGGATCCTCCTGCCTGAGCCTCCTGAGTGCTGGGATTACAGGCGTGCACCACCATGCCCAGCTTGAAGTCTCTATTTTTAATATAAAAAAGTTTAAACAAAATAAGTATTTTCAAGACTGTGTTTAGATAGCTATATGTGATATTTGGAGAAGGAATCATAAAATATTAAAGCAGGTTATGATTCTGTTCTTCTCATTCCTGGGTGGTTAAAACTAATAAAGTAACAGATGTTACATTTCTTAAAAGAACTCTGATTATCCAAAGAAAAGGAAGGAAGGATTTAGTTTTCCTCCCTAAGTAATTTGCCCAGTTTTTTACAAATTTTGGGTCAAGAACAGTCACAAGTATGCTAACTACCCTGCCAATTAAGTTGAAGATTATTTGCAGAACATAGCATTTCTTTAGCTTTTGGGCAGTCCTGTCTGCTTTGAAATGCTAAATTCCAGGTAACCAGTGAGTCTTCTCTTGTTCAGATGAGAGATCTCCAGCGGCCCAGTATGTGGACCTGTTGCTGAACCCGGAGCGGTACACTGGCTACAAGGGGCCCTCTGCCTGGAGAGTGTGGAACAGCATCTATGAAGAAAATTGTTTCAAGTAACTGGGGGATCTGGGAGGGGGAGAGATTATTTGTTTCTCTTGGGAAAAGATTATACCTCCAACCATCTTATGTTTGGGTTTAATGTTCTATTTTTTTAGGCCTCGGTCTGTTTATCGCCCTTTAAATCCTCTGGCACCCAGCCGAGGTGGGTTTTTCATGTATTTCATGCTTTAGAGATTGTTTATAAAATGTCTTTGTAGCTAATTCTATAAGGAACTACCATCTGTTGTATATTTCCTTAATTTGAATGATGAACAAAACTATAAGATTAGTTCATAGTTAAGCCTTAATATTTCTATATATATGTCTTCTTTAATTATTGTCATTTATTGAGTGCCTGCTATTTGCCAGACCCTAAGCTACGAACTTTATGTCGCATACGTTAGAAAATGTAAGAAATCCACATATACCAGAAAGAGACTTCTGAGGAAATTCCTCTAACTCTGGATGCCCAAGCCCTGCCCCATGCTTAGTGAAGTCCAAAACCCTGGGAGGAATGCAGGCATCCGTGATTTTTTCAGTTCTTCAGATGGCTTTAGTGTGTAGCCAAGTTAGAGAAGTAGTCGCTCAGAAGAGTGCTTCTGAAGCCTCAGTCTGCATGCAGATCACCAGCCCTGAGTCTGTAGGTCTTGGATGGGGCCCAGAATCCTCATAAGCTCCAAAGTGCCTTTTCAGGGTGCTGATACCAACACAAGGAAGGAGTTCAGGGCCTCAGTCTGCCCTGGGCAGTGCTCCTTACCTGCCCTATCCATGGACCATCCAGTAGCCACACGGACCATCAAGTGTATGACGTGGCATTGTGAACTTGAATTTTTAATTTTATTTAATTTTTGTTCATTCAAATGTAAAAACTGAAACCGTGTAAGATTATCAGTGGGGATGCCCTCATTATTTTCTCAGTGGGGAACCAAACCCTCAGAGCCACCCTGTGATTGACCAATCCAGTGCTTTTTTTAAACCAGGATTGAGTTAAGAAATTGAACTTTCTGGCATCCATGAGTCTCTCTTGGCCTTTTTGGGGACCAAGTAGACTGGGCAGGGTGTTTTGGATGCTTGTGCTGTCAAAATGGGGCAAATATTCTCCAGATTTATTCTGAAACTTCTAGGGAAGGGAATTAGATCATGCAGAAGGGGCGTGGCTTCTTATCTTTTGTCTCTTAGTACATTTAACTCATAGCTTTTCAATTTTTGACTCGAATGTTTTATTTATTTATTTGGTTGGTTTTTGTTTTTGTTTTGGTACAGGGGATCAAAGTTGGGCCCTTGTGCTTTTGAGGCAGGTGGCGGAACCACTGAGCCAAACCCCAGCCCTTAAATGTTTTATTACATAAAATTTTATAGACATTGAAGCAATCTAGAAAGTTTTGTAAAGTAAAATGGGAAAGGCCCCTCCTGCACCTTTCTGTACCGTAGTAGAGCATGTAGAGCAATTCTTCCAGACCTCTTCTGTAATTACTTTTGAAGCAGAAAACATAATTGTTCGCTTAATTAAAAACATCAATTCCTAAGAAATACTTCATTTCCATGTTATAATCAGACATGAAACGCTATAAAGATGAAGAAAGGAAGGAAACCACTATGTAGAGAAAGTTGGAGGGAGGGAAGAGGAGAAAAGGAAAAAATATGAAACAAGAGGTGTGGGGGCGCCCTGGCCCAGTTCAGCGGTTACCTAGGAAGCAGTTCTGCAGCCCTCTGAGTGCTGACTGTGAACATCCTCACTGACCTTCTTGTCTGTCTTTCTCACCATTCCAGAGTCGTTAACAATGAAGCTTCTACAATTGTTTTTCCAAAAGTTTTTGAGCAACAGAACCTTTTCTCCAAAAGTGAAATGTTAGGCCAGGAATTTGGCTCAGTGGTTTCACCACCTGCCTCGAAAGCGCAAGGGCACGAGTTCGACCCCTAGTACCAAAACAAACAAACCAAAAGTGAAATGTTCCATTAGAATTCCTCAGAAAAAGCTAACCAAGGTGGGGCCAGGGATTTAGCACAGTGGTTCCGCCACCTGCCTCGCAAGTGTAAGCCCCAAGTTCGATCCCTGGTACACCACAAAAAAAAGCTGACCAAGGCAGAGCTACTGTGGGGCTGCAGGACAGTCTTCTCACCTCCCTGCACCTGGTGAGTCTCCGGGGTCCTCCCATTGAGGATTTTCTGTCTGTGCTGAAGAACTGTCATCCGGTAAAGTGTCCCCCGGTGTGGGAACAGCGATCAGAGAGGTGTGTGCATATGATTGAGGGAGCCACAGTATTTGGTAATTATTTTTTAAGAGTATTTCCATTGGTTTCTTATATTTATGATATATGGTATAAAAATATGTGAAAACCGTGTACTGTCTGGCCTACTTATTAAAAAGCCCGTTTTCAGATGTCTACGCACTGACCGTGACATGAATAGTTTAACACTTTGAATATAAACATTTTCTAAAATCTTTTCTCTTACTTGCTCTTGTAGGTGAAGATGATGGTAAGTTGAAATTACTGTTTGCTTCAAGTCTAGAAGAAATGCTTTCAACTCTCAAAATTTGATGTTTTCATCTTGATTTGAAAGAAAACATTTATCCTGTTTTTCCAGAAAATAGCTACCAGTCAATGTTGACAGGTTATTCTTATAATATTATCCCATATTTTTAAAAGTATAAAGACCATTAACTTAAATGTTTAGAATAGAAACTCAGTTCATATTGCAAGTTCCCCATTTTTGGCTATTAAAATCTACTTGATTGTATTTTAAAGAAATGGAGCAAAGTGAAGGTTGTTCTGTCAGATAATTTATAATTTCTTTACTTCTTGTGTACTTTGAAACTTATAATCTCAGTTTTCAGTGTAGCAGTTTCTCAGTAGTTGGTTACTTTAGGTGATCATCTGTCATAAAGCACCCAAAACCACCAAAATAATGATCTCATTTGGATGTTTTCTCAACTGAGTCGAGGGACACTTTTTGGTGGTGGTGCTGCAGAAAAGGAAAATGTGTAAGCACAGTGTCTGCATTGGGAGCTGACAGTGCATAGTAGGAAAAATGAGCGCTGTACACAGTGTAACAAATGAAATGTTCTCTATACAGTACAAACTACGTGCTATAGCTCTTCATGGGTGCAACAAACGTGTCACCAGAATGACATGGGAAAGCTACTTGAAGAGGTGTCTCTGAGATTAATTTGAATAAGGAACAGATGTTGGCCAGTAGAATTGGATAGTGCACGCTTACTGGAGGGAAAACACATGAGCTGAGCAAGGAAAAATACGCATGGTGTAAGGAGACCACATTAGCAAAAGGGAAGACCAGATAGTGGTTGTTTTTGCTGTTTTTGCTTTGAAACAAGGTTCCATTAAGTTTCCCAGGATTGCCTCAAACTCTCAATCCTCCTGCCTCAGCCTCTTGAATAGCTGAGATTACGACATGTAATCCCATACATAGCAGTTCACTTAAAGTGATGGACAGAGAGCAAATTATTGATGACTTTGAGCAGCCTGTCAGTTGAGGTTTTTTAATGAAAAGGTGAGGTAATCCTGTCCTTAGGATAAGTTGAGTGAATGAATGACCGTAGAAAGGTGTTTGTGCTGTTTACCGAGTGTAAGTCTCAGGAGGCAAAAGAATTCTCACCACGGATTTTATCCCTTGGACTTCTCACAGCCCACTCTGTGTTGGGTTTTCTGTTATTTTCTCAATTTAAAAAATAGGTGAAAGTAAGAATTTAGGACATGCAATAGCAATCTAATCCTTACCGACTGCCCCCTTTTTGTTTCTCAAAAGAACTGTATTGGGCCCTGAATAGCTTCCTCACTCTCTCTCCCTTTTTAAATTTACAAATAAAAAGTACACACATCTGTCATGTCAGCGTGATGTTTTATGTGTACCCATTGTGGAATGGCTAAATCAAGCTAAGTACTGCATATATTACCTATCTCGGGTACTTAACATTTTGTGGTGAAAACACTTAAACTCTTCTGAGCAGTTTTCAAGTCTGATACACTGTTATTGTGGTTACCGTGTTGTACAGTAAGTCTGTACATATTCCTACTAACAAGTTTTGTGGCCTTTGACTTCCCTCTCTTGAAACACAGGAATAGTTCTTAGAACATCGGTACATAGATGGACAACTCTCAGACTCCTCTGTATGCTGTCCGTTCACTTTGCTGAAGGGTGACATGGACAACTGGGGCTTTACAAATTATTCCTCAGAACCTAGTCTTGAGTAATTGAGCAAATACACCTACTTTTAATGACTTAGGAAAAATAGAATAATAATTTGATCTTGCGTTAATTTTAATTCACTTTTTTTTCTGGAGTTTAATAAAGGGACTTTGGTTGCTTACATCAAAAGCAAACTAGCTTGTCCCCATGCTTCTGGATGTTTAAACCTTTAACAAAATGTATGTAGTATTTAGACAGAAATGTTTTCTCAAACACTTTAATAGTAAAATATCATTTTAAGATCATTCTATAGTGTTAAATTACAAGTGGGCTTTATTTTCTAAAATCATATACCTAATCATATGCCTGTTTTTCCATTTCACCTTAAGCAGTAGATATTTCTAGTAATAGTCTTTAATCTGACATAATAAATATTTTACAGTTTCATTTATTCTAGTTTATAGTTGAACATTTGAAATATTTTTACCTGATTTTCTCTCCCTCCCTCCCCCTCAGGAGAATCATTCTATACATGGCTAGAAGGTAACTTGATTATCTTTTAAATTTATTGGCTTTTTGTAAAACACTTTATGAGTTTTAGGAGTTTATTACCTAGACAAGTAATTTTGACAGTTGCTTGAAAGAAAATAACACGTTTAAGTTATTAAATTTTGGGATAAAATTATTTGAAAAATCTTGGGGTTGGCTGAAAACTAGTATATATTGTGCAGGCCAGACAGTGTCATTAGCTTTGCCTAACTGGTTTTCCCAGCTTCCTTCATTCTGTACACAGTGCTTATCCAAACTGCTTTTCTGCTAACCTAAGAGAAGATAAATTGAATTCAGAAGGTTCTAAAGATGTTTGACGTTAATACAGTCAAAATTTGTCTCATTAAAAGATATAGCAATATAGATCTTAATATATTAGCTACTTTGCACTCCTTATTTCTAGTGTTGAAAATATGAAATGTTATTAATGGAAAGCTGAAAACTGTTTTAGGCTTTTAACAACTTAGGTTAATAACTGGATATATGATGCTTTTGAAAACTTCCTTTACCAAATTACTATTGGTTTATAAAATTTAAAATAGTGAAAGGTGAGCAAGCTGAATTACATAGAAAAATTGATATTTCATGGCCATAACCTGATAGTAAACAGAGTTAGTTTAAGTAGTCAATTCTGTTTTGTCTGTTATTTGGTCTTGTTGTCTTATGAACATAACTTCTCTTTGTTTTTAAGAACTATGTGTGTACACTGGTCATTAAAGAGAACACTGTTGAACAAATACTGTTAAGAGTTATATTGAGAAAATGACTTAAGTAGAAGATGCACAACTTTGTTTATGATCTGTTCTAAAGATACATATTGTGGAAGCGGGCTTAAAGAGGTACTCAGAAAAGCAGAATGTTGATAACAGGATGAGAATGAAATTTGGGGTCAATACTAGACTTTAAGTGTATTATTTCGACCATTTTCTAGTATCCTCTTGTTGCATGTTGAATATTGATATGTGGCTCCAGATAGCAGTCCTTTTTTCTGGCAGCTGGCTCAACCATTTCAGAGATTCAGTTTTCCTCATTTGGAGCTTGAGAGTGACAGTAGCAGTCCTACTAACCTAAAGTGATAGCATAGATGATTCCTGTAAAGTTTTCCTGAAAACCACTGGATAATGTCCAAATCCCCAAAATATTGCCACTATACATCTAGCCTTTTGATGAGACAGAAAAATGTCAGTGTTCCATAATTCCATTGCTACAAATTAATTTGAGTGAAATTAAATCTAGAAGAGGAAGAGAGAACCACTTCTTGAACTGGGCAGTTGAATTTGCTCTGTACTGTTATTAAAACTAGAAGTTGATGAGTTTTGCCTTCATAGTTGCTCTTGGCAGATGTTACCTCAGAGTGAGACTAAGTGTTGTGCCTGGCCCTCCAGTCAGAGACCACCCCCACCTGGCAGTAGACCAGGCAGGAGAAACGCTCTCCAGCAGTATCCTGCTAAAGCTTGTTGTGTGCACTCATTTAGTGGTGCACTCATTACCATTTTGCTTGCTGTTACTCCTCTTGCCAGCTCATCAAAGTACATTTCCTACCCAACCTTTCCTCATTTGTCATCTGTCCCACACCGGTTTAAGGGCTTTGTGAGCTTTGCAAATTAGATCTCCCAGTACATATTTTAGTCATATGAATTTCATGATCTTTCATTTGTCTGCTCTGCACTAAGCCTTCAGCCGTTTTGTTGGATGTGAGCACTGCTAGAGAGGTAGGGTGGAAAGAATAGAAAGTGAACTCCAAATGGATCTTTTGCTACTTGATCAGATTTGATGAAGTTTCTATTAGAGAATTAGTACTTAATACTTTATTAGATCTGTTCATATTGTTTGTATCCTTTGTTATCAGTGATTATTAAAAAGTAATCATACACTTTTAGGAGGAAGCTACAAAATAGAATTTTTCTACTTTTTCATTTTCATCCATGACAGTTTGAATATTCTAGCAAGAATTCTGAATTCAAGAATAAGACCTCAAAAATAAAGTATTTTTTCTAGAGGCTGCCTGTGGTAGCACCATTTATGCCAAGACATAAAGAATAAATTGAAATTTGAAAGAGCTCGACAAATGCAAAGTATACCACATAGTTTCCCTTACTTTTAAGAAAATTCCCCAAAGTGTAAACGAGACTACACGTTCTACTGTCGAAGCCCATTTTCCTCCGCAGGGAGGGTGACACACACACCCTACCTTGTTGGGTAGTGAAGAAGGGAGAAAGCTAAGTGCTCTGCATCCAGTGTCTTCTTAAAACTTCTCTGTATCCTCATTTACTTTTAACATTTTTATAGTCTAGAAATTTTTTTTCTTACGGTAAAACGCAGACAACAAAATTGACCGTTTTAACTTTTTTCATTGCTTGTTTGGTGTGGAGACCAAACCTAGGTCTCTCCACATGCTAAGCACATGTACTGCCCCTGAGCTACACCCCAGTCCCATCTTACACATTTTTGTTTACTAGTTAGTAGTTTTAAGTACATTCACACTTTACAACACTCTTATTATACAAGAAAAGCTTTTAAAATGGAGACCGGGAAGGAAAGGATTGTGGAATTGTCTTGATCGCCATCGTAAATGTTGAGTAAAAGCCTGTGTGGGTTAAGAAGTCTACATAAAATCCACCATATTCCTGAACTCCACATGATGCCTGCTTGAATAGTAAATACAGTTTTTTATTAGTTGAAATTCCTGGATGTTTGTTTTCAGAGTTTACAGTTAGATAAAACCAGACAGTAAGAGAACAAAATGTTAATATTCCTCTTTGTCCACTACCAAGTAGATTCAAGAAAGACATGCAAATAGAGGCCTCGGAGAAACAGCTACTGTTTGGTCAAGGGAGTAACTTTACAATTATATTTGCTTTACTAAATTCTCAGCCTAACACACGGAAAGGCTGTGCCGTCACCTTCTGGGCAATGTGGGAACTTGCCAGCAGTGTCCACAGTGTTTGGACCTACAGGAGCCCAGGCCATTCTGTCTTTTCTGCATGAAATTTTCATCATACTCAACTCCCTTCTGAAGGTGGATTCTTACTTTTTCTTCTAGTGAGAGAATCTTGACCTAATTGTTTATTATTTCTTGATTTATCTTTAATGTCCTAGAATCTTAACTTTAAACCTGTGTACTGAATTTCCTTGATTCACTATATGTTATCTCAGTGTGCATGATTTCTTTTTCAATATTTTTCTGAGCAGGTTTGTGTCTGGAGAAGAGAGTCTTCTATAAGCTTATATCAGGACTTCATGCTAGTATCAATTTACATCTATGTGCCAATTACCTTCTGGAAGGTAAATGATTTTAAATGGAGATTTTGGCCTTCAGTATAAAAATTAATTGGGAGGGGGATACATGTTCTCTAGATAAAAATCCTTTTCATTGAAAGAATGTAATGTATTTTTCCTTCTTTTTAGAAACCTGGGGTAAACCGAGTTGGGGACCTAATATCAGAGAATTTAAACACCACTTTGACCCTGTAGAAACCAAGGGAGAAGGTCCTAGAAGGCTTAAGAATCTTTACTTTTTATACTTGATTGAGCTGCGAGCTTTGTCAAAGGTGGCCCCCTACTTTGAACGCTCCATTGTCGATCTTTACACTGGAAACACAGAAGAAGATGCGGACACCAAAACCCTTCTTCTGAGTATCTTTCAAGATACAAAGTAAGAACTGACTGGCAGTGTTCTGAGATGCTCTGAAACTGCGCTCAGATGTCACACTTGACATGCAGCCAAAGCTGACTCCTAGGAGTTAGGAAAAGGGAAAAATAGATCTGAGAAGGGAAATATCAGTGAACAATAGCATTTTAGTTATTTATAAAACTGTGAACTAAAATGCATCTGTAAAGCTCTGTTGACGAACCCATACTTGAAAATAGGCAGTATTTAAAAATATTTAAGATTTTATGTAGTATCATATTGTAATGCTACTTTAAGGTTCTTTCTGCCAGTTTTGTATTCCTCCGATTGCTATTTAAATCTAGTTGATATCAAAAGTATGTTAGCATTAAGATGCAAACATGAGGGAGCATTAGTCTTTATTTTCCAGAATATAATTTTAAAAATAATGCTCAGTCTCTAGAACTCAAGTTTAGTGGATGTTAATGAACATGGAGGAAAGTCAGATCAAAAAGTACTGAAAATAAATTAAATTTTAAAAGAATTTTAAGTGTGCATGTTTTCCAGACTTTTCCTTTTTTAGATTTTGTCATGCAATGTTTGTTTCCTTCAAATATTGTAATCTTACAAATTACACAGCTATTTGTAATTTTTCTATTAGTTTATATGTGAACTGTACTGTCCTATAAGTAAATGATTCTTAAATATTTTTAGGAATAGAGATTCTTAAGCTGTAATACAAGGTATTTGGATTTTTCATCTGTAACTTACTAGCATACTATCATTTTACCAGGTCCTTCCCCATGCACTTTGACGAGAAATCCATGTTTGCAGGTGACAAAAAGGGGGCGAAATCACTAAAGGTAAAAAGTTCTTGACTGGGGGACAGGGTGGGGAGCTGTTTACTGGTTATATTTTAATTGTATTCATCTAAACTCTTTTCTTTCACACTTCTACAACTTTTTGAAGTTAGTCTGATTAGATTTTGCTATAAATGGTGATCCTCAATATTGATTGAGCCCCTATGACAAATGTAGTATAATAATGAGTGATTTAAAACTCATGAAATAATGAGTGATTTAAAACAGTATTCTAGGGCCATCATTCTCATTTAGGTGCACACAAAGCAAAGCCACTAAAGTAAATGGAACATAAAAAAGATGCATTTCCCATTAGTTATATGTAGATATCGAATGGAAGTAGCAGTTAAATTCCTTAAAAGTAAACAAACATGTTTACTTTTGGGTCCATCATAATGTATATTTTGGTGCTTTGCATCAAGTCAACCCCCCCCCAGTAAAAAGTAATATGCAGAATGAGTTTTTATTTTTATAAATCTCCATTGTCAGTTGTTTTAGTGCCATGTTTTGCTATACACGTTCAGTTTTTCTTTAGTTTTGAAAAGCAGCTCATTCATTAATAAACTCACAGATTTTAATTCTTACAGATTAAGTCAAATATAGTTTACTCTTTTTTTTTTGAAACTGGGGATCAAACTTGGGTCCTTGTGCTTGTGAGCCAGGCGGTGGCACCACTGAGCTAAATCCCTGGCCCTGGAGTTTACTTTTAAAAGCCTTATTAGACTGAAAATATTTTCTGTCTGCTAGGAGGAATTCCGGTTACACTTCAAAAATATCTCCCATATTATGGACTGTGTTGGATGTGACAAATGCAGATTATGGGGGAAGTTACAAGTATGTATATTACCTTTTCTTACCTTACATTTTTCCCACTGAGTCGCTGCAATTTCTTAAATGTCCTCATTGTTCATGGAATTAGGAGTTTAGTAATAGGCAGATACAAAGTGTGATTTTTGTTTTATTAGTGAAAAATAAACTGTTGCGTGTTTACAGGCACAGATGCTTTTCTAGTACTCTAAATTTTTCTTGTATCTCATGTCTGTGATATAACCTCAGATTCATTTCTGATGTTGGTATATGAATAAAGAATTTTATGTATTTAAAATATAAAATTATAAAAGATAATTTCAGTCATTGAATTTGTCTTGGTGGTCTAAAGAAGACACTTGAGTCACAGGTACAAAGAAGGTTCATTATCCTAGATACTCAGTATAAAAGGATTGTTTGATATTTTTTAATCTTGTTTCTGTGCAAAGATGATAATAGAAAATCAAGAGCCAGAATGAAGTCGGTGGTGGTGGCACATGATTATAATCTCAGCTCTTGGGAGGCTGGAAAAGGAGGATCACAAAGCCAACCTGGGCTACATAATGAGTTTGAGGTCAGCCTGAACTACGTAGCAGGACTGTGTCTCAAAAAAGAATTATATCAGTGGAAGCTATGCTGAACTTCAAAATTTCTTTTCCTCTCGTGTTAATAATTGAGAAATTATGTGTAGTTATCACTGATAATCTGAGTTTTCAATTACTACAGCCTATTAAAAAATGCTTTCACTGGGGTTAGGGATTTGTTTCAGTGGTAGATTACTTGACTAGCATACATGGGGCCCTGAATTTAATTCAAAGCACCAAAAAAGAAAAAAAAACTTTCAAGTTTACAAATCAAACATTGAAGTTCTTAGGTGATATTTTCAGTTAAAAAGACATCTTGGTAGGGCTGGGGATTTAGCTCAGTGGTTCAAGGACCCGAGTTCGATACTGGGTATCAAAAAAAAAAAAAGACATCTTGGTAATTTAGAATAGTGCATGTCCAACAAGTGTTAGACTATTCAAGTTTCCTTAACGGCTTAGCTAAGTTTATTACATGTAAACCTGAGAGAATAGAAATTATATTGCGTATGATTTAACATTTTGGTTAAAAGCTCAGTTCACATGAGTTTCCTGATGATCATCGTGGTGGCTGGGTATTCCTCCTTTACATCTTTTTTGCAGTTGTTATATGAAGTTATTTATAAGGGTTTTTTGTTTGGTTTTTTTAAGACTCAAGGTTTAGGAACTGCCTTGAAGATACTATTCTCTGAAAAAGAAATCCAAAAGCTTCCAGAGAACAGTCCTTCTAAAGGCTTCCAACTCACGCGTCAGGAAATAGTTGCTCTTTTAAATGCTTTTGGAAGGTAAGAACCACTTCTGTACCTAAGAAATGAAGACTTAATTCCCTTGCAGGTTTCCATAGTGCAGAAATTGTCTTCTCTGCTAAATCAGAATGTGCTCTGGTTTGGTTTGGCGACAAAAATGATACAATTACACCTGTATTGGCTTTGCCTAGAATGGCTTCAAGGCTTCATGTTTTTCTATAGGTTATAGGAAAAATTGTTTCTGAACAGTTAGTTAGTTGCCGGTATTTTCAGTGTGCTTACTCAATTTTGTAGGGAAAAATATTCTCCTAATAATCTTAGCTTTCGGTGTTTCTAACTTGTTCAAGTACAGTTATAGAAGTCAAGTGAGCATGTTCTAGAAGGAAATAAGAGGGGAAATTCAACTCGTCTGCTCTTTATTTTAAGCTGAGGAGTCTTTCACTTATTTCTACCCCACTTTATGTTTACAGTTTGTTTGTTTATACCACAAATTATTTCAAAAATAATTTGCCTACAGAGATACATGCAATGCCAACTGACACATACATAAAACACAAGAATATCACAGAAAATGCTATCTTGTCTTGGAAAAATAGGGCAAAAAAGTCAAATCAAGGAAATTTTTTTTTTGGTACTGGGAATCAAACTCAGGCCCTTGTGCTTATGAGGCAGGCAGCAGAACCACTGAGTCAAATCCCCAGGCCAAGGAAAAAAAAATTTTTTTAATAAGGGACCAAGTAATAGGGAAATTCATGCTTATGTTTTCTTAGTATGTGTATGTTCAAAAGACATGGATATGTTCAAAAGACATAAATCATACTTCTTGCTTCCATTTAATAAGCATATAGGTTGAGATTTAAAACACAAGACAGAATGTCCATTGTTAATCTGTATTTCATGAAAAATTCAGTCTACCCACTTATGAGGCCTATAGGAAATTAACATTAAAATGATGAAATTTATTTAAAATGAAATTGAAATGAAGCCTGGAATGGCGGTGTATGCCTATAATCCCAGCACTTAGGAGGCTAAGATTAGAAGGAAGGATCACTGCAGGTTTAAGGCCATCCTGAACTACATAGTGAGACCCTGTCTTAGAAAACCAAAAATAGGGCTGGGGATTTTGATCAGTAATGCCACTGCCTGCCTTGCAAGTGCAAGATTCTGAGTTTGATCCCTGGTACCAAAGGAAAAAAAAAATCTGAAGTGAAAAGGACTTTAAATGTTATTTAAGCTCTTGTCCAACTAAAATTGAGAAGAAAAAAATAATTTTACCTAAATTTCCCTGGGTCTCCTCAATGTACCCTCGTAGTTTTAGTTCTGTATCTAGAACCCATTTCATTTGTGGTTTTTGAGTCCTGGAATCCTGGCTTGTCATTTATTAGCAGTGTGGGTTCCCACAAATCCCTTCTCTTTGACCACGCTTCCTTGTTAGGTAAAATGAGGGAGATAAAAACGATTACTGTTAGACCCCACTACTAGCTGGGTGAACCTGGGGAAGTATTTGACTGATTTGAGCCTCGGTTTTCCTGAAATGTAAAACCAGAGTTAATTAAATCTACTTTGCTGCTTTTCAGTGTTTTTTGAGGTCATATACATGATAGGTTAAAAAGCAGTGTGGCACATCCTAAGCTCTCAATAAATGGTAACATTTCAAGGGTTGATAATAGAGACTTTTAACACTGCATACTACATCCCTCCCTAAGTTGTAAGAAAGAGAAATGTATTTTTCTTGTCAACCCTGAATTATACAAATTGTACATGAGGAAAACTGAGCTTGAAGATGTTTTTGTGCTTCCCACTCCAGTTTTACACCTGGGCTGAGGCTGAAGAGCTCTCTGTTCCTTCGTTCAACAAGTCAGTAACCACTTAAAAAACACAGTACCAGATAGGTTCAGGAGATAAAAGTCTTCACCCTGGAGGCTCCAGCAATGTAAATTAGGGAGTTTGGGAGGCAACCAGAAGAAAGGAGTGGCCCTTTGGAGAGTGTGCCAGATGAGTTTAAAAGGTCAAACTTAACTTATTTGAGGTTATTTATCATAAATTATTCCTGTCTTGCCTTTCCTCTTAATCTACATTCTACTGAGAAGTCCTAGTAACTGGCTTCCTTTGCCTCCTCTAAACCAAGACCAAAAAACCACAGCTCCTTGTTTTATTAATTTCAATAAAAACTGTAGCAGACTCATTTAAAAATGGAATCTTCTGTTTGGTGTTGCTTATATATTTTAGATTTCATTTTTAATTATAGCCCGTATAACAGTATCAGTAATTTGAAATATGTACACATATTACCTGTATGTACTAACATTGCTTTTTTCCTCTCCTGTAGGCTTTCCACAAGTATAAGGGAGTTACAGAACTTTAAAGTCTTACTACAACACAGTAGGTAATGAAGGCTTTTATATGTCTAACTAGACATAAAATGACTCTGTGAAGCCTTTTAGTCTTGGACAGTCAGCAAAAAGACTAATACTTCAAGAATTCTGAACTCTTAAAGAGAAAATTCAAATGCTCACTTGAATATTTATGATTATTAGATTATTAGAGCTATTTATAAATGAAGTATGTACTTTTAAAAAATGTAAGTTATACTAAATTCTGTGTTTGTGTTTCTGTTGAATATTGTTTCAAACTGGTTTTGTTCTTATTTTCTTCCATTTCTGCTTGTTGAACTTTAATGACTATCTCTGTTCTAGTGACAGTTACCATCTGTTGTAGAAAAGAACGAGAGAACCATTGCTGCTCAGGGCTGGTATCAGTGGTGAATTTTATCAGTGATTTAATGTTTTTAGTCTTGCCCAGCACTACAGCTGTCACCAATAATATGGAGCTGTCAGTGCAGTGAATGGTCTTTTTGGTGAGTGGTTTCAGAGGATTTCAACTTCACTTGCATTGGTGTTGAGGTGTTTAGTTGTGGTTGCTGCTTTATTTTGGGTCTGAAGGACCTGTGCTGGTGAAAGTGGATAGATGAGTGCCCTTCCCGTGCTCAGCAAGGCACATGTGCACGACTGAGCTGGAGCACGATTGTTCTTTACTTAGAACCTACAGATCATTTCTTCCAACTTTGCCGCTCTCTCCTAATTTTAGACATGTTCAGTTACTTATATCTACATATTCATATAATTAGTTGTTGATAAAATTTGGGATTCTGTGAATTTATAATGCCATTAAAACTAAATACACAAAATTTGCTACTGTAAAGCAAGCATCTTTAAAGGATTTAATTTGGAATGTAATTTATGCAATCCCACCTAATTTTCTCTGGTGAGGCATTTCAGCAGGGAGATTAGGTCAGCCATCTTCTCAGCTTCCTGTCCTCTCCTTTCCATCTTTAGTTCATTTTGTATCAGTGGTACTTTGTGTGACTTGGACCAATGGAGGACTCATAGATCCTAGACTATCACTTTGTAAACCTGAGATTTAAAGTCTCCAAACAAGGCTGGGGATTTAGCTCAGTGGTTCCCCTGCCTGCCTCACAAGCTCTAGGTCCTGAGTTTCATCCCCGGTACCAAAAAAAAAAGGTCTCCAAACAATATTTAAAATCTTGATTCTTTTAAAGATGTCAGTGCATACAATGGGACCGATTTGAAAGGTTGTATCTGTGAAGTAATGCTAGTAGTCTAGTTTCTCCTTAGACTCTATATTTCCTGAAAATAAGTGCTCTTAAACCCACATCTTATTCTGCCAAAGTCTGAAATGTGTTGACAGCTTTATGACAGACTCTAAATTGTACTGAGTTGGCTTACCCCTTTTTAAAACATGTAGCTGTGCTGTGAAGGATATGATTGGGCGAGTAAGGTCTCATAGTTTTTTCACCTAATTACTAACTTTTCTAAACTCAGAATTTTGTTGTGTTGGCGATGTCTGTTAGATAGATTGAATCGTAAAGGCTAACTTGATTAGAGCTTCCTCTTTTTGCTTTTTTCGGGTTGTAAGCATTATATGGTATGGAAAGGAGACCATAAGGCAAAAAGCCTTAAAAGCAGTTATCTACTAATCTTGCTAGTACACAAAGAATTATTTTTAGTGTTCATTTGAAGTTTTTAAAAATGTGAAAAATTATGCACTTTGTGTATTTTTACTATAAATGTAAAACCTTCCTGGTAGTGTTACTTCACCATTCCTGTAGTTAAAAGTTACTTAAACTCCATTACTAAAGAAAATCTTTGGTTGTTTCCATTTATTGCATTTTTTTTTCTTTATTGCAATTTGTTTCAAGCTTAGGAAAAATAGTATATTTACAGTGTGTTCTAGGAAATTAGATTTAGTTAAAATTTTAATGAATTTTTTCACTAAGAAATGAAGTATTCTGGGGCCGGGGATTTAGAGCTCAGTGGCACCGCACCTACCTTGCAACCCACAAGTCCTGAGTTCAACCCCCAGTACCAAAAAAAAAAAAAAAAAAAAAAAAAAAAAGGCAAAGAAATGAAGTATTCTTAAGCTAAAATTCATCTGATTAACTTTACCATAGATTAGATTGGGGAGGGACTGCCTGTATTTTGTGTTTGTTTATATTTCTAACATGCAAACCATAGGAGCCTGTGTTTTGTGAACCTGGTGCTGTTTAGATCCTTGTACTGTAGACTGTCTTCCAGGTCACGTACCCATTGCTACAAGGTGACAGTAGCAGTTTACATTGTGAACATGCCTGGCTAGTGAGCATCTCTTGGTGTTTTGTTTGTATCTTCTCACCTACTTTAAAATCTGTCACTTTACCATATAACTGACAGAAATGATTGTAACAGCTGAAGAAGTAATAAACATGAGGAAAAGGAAACATTCTTTCCTCCAGTAGTATGTAACTTTTTTGTCAAGTGGAATCTGTAAATTAGACAGACTATAAATTGGTAAATTTTCAGTGTTCTTGTTTTGAGTCTTGGTTTATGAAGAAAATCAGAATAGTAATAGATTTTACTTCTTAAAACTTCTGTCACATATTTTGACATTGAACATCAGTTCTGTAATCTCATTATGTGTCTGAAACACTATGCCACTTTTCACCTTTGCCTAGGTGCCATTGTATATAAGAAAGGACAGCTATTTGGTTCTTCACAGCATTGTCTTCAGCTGGAAACTTGAGCACAGTTCACAGTAAGCCTCCAAGCAGTTTAGAAAATCGAGTACCTGCAGAAACCATAGCTGCTCACTAAAAGACAAGTTAGGTCCATCAAAGCCCAACACATATATCCATACTCTGTTTCAGTAACATCTAAGGGTGCAGCTTTGATTTTGTGAACAGGTTATTGGCTGCTGTACCATCAGACTCCCAAAAATGTCAATTAAAGTACACGTTTCTGCAATCTTTTGTCTTGTTTTTCCCATTTTAAGTGTTTTATGAGATGAAGATGATTATAATTTGCGGAATAGGGAAAAGTATTTTTCCAGGTAGCTTGGTTGGTGGCTCTTCTACTCACAAAGGCAAGCTTTGGAAAGCCCCAAATTAAGGGCTTCATCATTTCATCTTCACTAAAGCACTTATCAGTAAGTAAAATTCTGTTTTAGATATATGAAAACTGAGTCAGAAATGCTGTGCAGTAGCCAGAATTTGAAACTAGAATATCCTCACTCCAGAGTCTCTACTCATAAAAATGGTCTGTCATTTCATAAGTTGGTCTTTTACATTTACCTAAATGTGGAAACTTGAAACTTAGCATATTTTGATTTGTAATGAGTCATAAGACTTTTTTGGGGGGGGGTACCAAGGATCGAATTCAATTGTGAGGCTGGCACTGTGCCACTGAGCTAAATCCCCAGCCCAGTCAAAGACCTTTTAAATATACTTATTTTATTTGATTTTTTAAACAGGTAGTATATTCACATGGGTTTTAAAAACCAAAGTTACAGGGCCAGGGATTTAGCTCAGCGGTTTGGTGGCCTGCCTTGCAAGTGCAAGGACCCAAAAGGACCCGAGTTCAATCTCCGGTACAAAAAACAAAACAAAACCCAAAACCAAAGTTACGCAGTGTCTCCACAGCCTGCATCACACCCTGTGCTCACTATGTAATCGCTGTTCTTGATTTCCTAAGTTTCCATCTGTTTTCTCTGAGCTCATTGAAGGGTGAAGTAGATGGACACAGAAGAGAGGGACACACGGAGGGAGTTTATTAGAACAGAGAGAAACTCTCACTAGCAAAGGACTCCAAGGGATGATGCCGAGGCGGCACCCGATTTCAGGGTTTTTGTGTATTTTGTTGGACTGTTTCGGTGGGTGTGTGAAAATAGAAGTGTTTTTTTGGCTGGGCCTCTCATTTCTGGAGGACAGGCTTCCCTGCCTTCAAGGTTCCTGGGGCAAACTTCAGCTGCCTCATGTTCTCATTTTCCCAGGCTCATCTCGGTTAACTCGGGTCCCTTTTCTATCTGCCCATTGTCTCTCTCTTGTTTTCGCATCCATGCTTTTTAAGGCATATATAAATGCATTTATTTTTTCTCTCATTTTTATCCAAAGTGGTATCACTCACATACATACTATTTTGCTTTTTCCCCACACATCACTGGATAGCCATGTTACTTTTACCTGGTATTGTATGGATGTGCCATCGTTTAACTGGTCCCATTAATGGGTAATCGGGTTGTTTCCAGACCTTTACATGTCATTTCGTGTTTGTATACATACCTCTGGTCAAAGACCCATACGCCTTTGTAATTTTGAAGGACACTAACTGACACGCTGTCCTCCCTAGGGGGACAGTACCAATTCACATGCCATCTGAAATTTACCACTGTACTTGCTTACCCACAGCTTTATTGTGAGAGATGTTACAATGTTGGGCTTGGGAAAAAAAATGATCAATGTGTTTTTAGTTTATATTCTTAAGAGCCATTTGTATGTATTTATATTCATATCTTTTGCCTGCTTTTCTATCACATGGTTATTCTTATTTTTCCATGAGTTTAAAATAATCCTGTAACACATGGCACACTTTTACTTTTACCCAGTTATTCTTTTGATTTGATGGTAAAGATCTGTTTCATATCTTCTAAACATTATAGGCAAATAGAGGCATGGTAATAGTGCCTGTGTAGACAGAATTAATCTCGGTACTTCTATTTTAAGACAGTCTCCAAGAATGATTTGAAGACTATGTACATATAAAATGTTTATTACCTTTTTTCTCATTATGTCCAAAAGTTGGTTATCTGTCAGAGCATGAGAGGAGACTTTATATGGGTAGTAAACCAGTAAAATCAATATACAGATGAAAGTGTAAGTGCAAGAAGTTACCATTCTATAGCCTAACTAGATTATATACCATTTATAGTGAGAAACCATCCCAATAAAATTGTCAAGGATATGTGCTAACCTAGAAAAACCCATCTAGTGGAGGAGATGCCTTCCACAGGAATGTAAATCTTTCCTCCTTCTTTGGTACTGGGGATTAAAATCGG